GCGTATCTTCAATCATCAATTCTACTTCAACTTGGTTGGTGATGGAAATTCCAAACAATGGGATAACTTCAAGAATTACACCAATCATCCCATCATCCTGCCAATCGAAGGTATACTTCAGACGTACCGTACCCCTCTAAACGTTCCGTTATTTTATCAAACATATTCTAAAGGCAAGATACCACTCTTACGATATCTTCTGATAGGTATCATAAGATTTTCATTTCCTCCATCTACTCAATTCTCTACGAGTCTTCACCACAACGTTTTGTACACCCAAACAGACGTTCGGTGTACCGGGCGAGAATTTAAGATAGGAAAGCTTTATTTACGATAGACGTATAAATCTCCTTATCACTTCGAAACGTTTACATGTTAGTTCTAATCTCGTAATCATACGCTTAGAATCCTACACACATCAGGTTTTCCAGATCCGGTCGGCAACAGACCATAGATCCGAACAAATAATGGCATATATGGCAAACATATAGCATTTAGCACATAAAAGCATTTTAGGCATCTTTCCTAAAATAAACTAGTGCTCGTGTCTAAAATATGGTAGACACTCATCTCACAATCATCACTTAGCATTCTAAGTTTATGTCTAGAAATCCTACAATTTCTTAGTTCGCTTAAACTAATGCTCTGATACCAACTGTGACATCCCCAAATTCACGGCCAGAAAAGACCGGTTTAATTTATGCTTTTAAAATAATTTCAGAGTAATCATTTGATTAAACGTGTTGCGGAATTTGTTCCCAGAAAAACATGATAAAAATGTTATCAAATCATTTCCGAAGAAATGTATTTTATTCACTAAAACCATTGGGATGTCATTGTCAATACAAAAACATAAGCATAAACAAAACTTACATTCATTTACACTAGTGATCTACTTCTCTTTTAATCTCTCAGTGTAAAGCAACTTCGTATCGATACCTGTGACACAATTAAACTGAGTGGGTCAGGCTTAGAAGCCTGGTGAGCATATAAGGTTTTCAACCCACAATAAATAATAAACTTATTAAGTTCTCAGTCAACAATAAATTTATTAATTTCATCAACCAAAAATAACCCTAATTACCCATTCCCATTATCCTCACTTTACGTCCCTAAAACAACTATCACAAGGGACCTAGCCTAAGGATTTTCACTAGGGGTGACAACATTGCTTCTGGGGTTCCTCAGCAATTTATGTCAAATAAGGAAACCATCGGGGTGATAAAATTGCTTTCCTCAGCAATTTATGTCAAACCATACAACCTAACATAAAACAACCAATAAGGTGACAACATTGCTTTCCTCAGCAATTTATGTCAAACAAGACCACCAATAGGGTGACAACATTGCTTTTCTCTGCAATTTATGTCAAATAAAACAACCAATAGGGTGACAACATTGCTTTCCTCCGCAATTTATGTCAAATAAAACAAACATCAGGGTGACCTCATTGCTTTCCCTCAGCCATTTATGTCAAATAGGCACGAAGTCACATCGTCGCCATGAGCTAAGTCCATAGCTCTTATTTATCGACAGTATTTCCCACGGGAATCCCTCACGCAATACATGTCAATGGGTTTTTAGAGTATAGCTGATGAACATATAGTTCATACACCTACAGGTTGCAAGCCTGCTAGTGTTCCACAGACCGTCTAGAATAGTCCATGGTTGTCATCCATACTCTGCTGAATGACGGGGGCCAACGTTTGGGTAAGGGATTTTCTCATATTTCACCACTCACCCTCAACTCATGTTCTCATTTCACCACTCACTCTCAACTCATGATCTCATTTCACCACTCACTCTCAACTCATGATCTCATTTCACCACTCACTCTCAACTCATGATCTCATTTCACCACTCACTCTCAACTCATGATCTCATTTCACCACTCACTCTCATCTATCCAACTCACCTTTCATCACACACCCACTATTTCATCTACCCATGTTTTACCCAACATTTTTGTAGATAAAATACATATACAGTTTAAATTATTTAAGAACATGTATAAATCATTCCTTCAACATCCATCTCAAATAAACAAACAATATATATTCACACAGCACGTATTTTATATAAAATACTTCATATTTATGTGTAAGGTGAAAGTAACTACACACTCACTTGATTTACTGAAAATCGGGCAGCAATTCGTTTTCTAAAACGATCGTTTCTAATAAAACCGGTAGTTTTATTGAGAAACCGGACTCTGCAAGGGTCGGGCTTCGAAACCGAAAAGATAATATTTTCCAGCTTCTCGGGCACTTCGGGACGTGTTTCGGGTGCTATAATCGATACTGGGGCTTCGGGGGAAGTTTGAAAGAAATATTGAAAAAGGGGTTAAAAATGACAAGTTTGCAAAATATACCCGGGAGGTCTCGCACCCTTCTATTTATAGGGGCGAGGCTCCTGATCCAAGGGCTGAGAAGCCTCCACGTGTCAGCAGATCCGGAGCGAAGTCACATGGGTCGCACGTGCGAGGGTCCTGGTGTCGCCTCCTGATTGGACCAAGGTCTATGGTCCGAGGGTTCGGTCGTGGCGCATCATGCGAAAGTCGGACACGCAAGAAGGGACACGCGTCGGATCGCTACTGGACCGCACTTCGGATGCGAGGGCAGGCGACACGCCTCACCAGCTGGCTTCGGTGAATCAGCAGATTTCGGACACGTGGCGCGCATGCAGCGAGCGTGACGTGGCCGAAGCCACCTATGCGAAATTTCTCGATTTTTGTGCAAAAAACTTCTAAAATCCATAACTTTCGCATACGAGCTCCGTTTTTGATGTTCTTTATATGCACGCGTAGGTAAAATTACGCTCTACAACTTTCGTTTAGACTTCGTCGACTAATTTTGAATTTAATTTTTATATTATTATTTTTAACAGACCGGGACAGGAAATCCGTTAAAAATTCATAACTTCTTCATCCGACGTCCGTTTTCTTCTGTCTTTTTACCGTTGTGCTACTATTGATGAGACCTTCGATTCTAGTTTAGGTTGTGTCGGCTAAAAATCACTCGATCTAAAATTCGAGTTTTTAGTTGTCTACTGCTAAGCCGAAACTTAGAAAAATCATAATTTCCTCATACGAAGTTAGATTTAGACGTTCTTTTTATACATACTTCGATGGAAGGCGTCACGCCTGCGAACGCGTAGCGTATGCGACTACGGCCCGCGTACTTCGGAGTACGCCCAACGTACGAGGGCAATCCCCACCCCTATAAATAAGATGCAAGGCTTCCGAACTTCTTTGCCAATTTACAACTTCTCTCCCATATTTTCTCACTTTCGAGCCTCTCGAAACTACCCTGACGCCCCGGTTACGTATCCAAGCTCCGACGAAGGTCCGAAGCTCCGAAACTCCCAAGAAATTTTCCACTTTCCGGTCGAAGTGCTGCCCGAGAAAAGTCCCGTTTTCTTCAAATCATCACACTTACCAGGTGAGTTCATACCCCTATAAAGAGGAAATACTTACATTTACAAGAAAAATGTTAAATGTTAAATAAGTAAAATAACGTTATTACAAATGTTATACTTTACATGAAAAGTTGGTAATACACCAAGGTTTATCATTCAAATGAAACACACTTTTTGAAAAACTATAATAAGTATAGTTTACGAGATATTCATGATATTTTACATACTATAAACACTATAAAGAGGAAATACTTACATTTACAAGAAAAATGGACTTTTGATACGTAAATCTATTTGATACTAACTTTTGTGAGGCATTTGACTTCACGTACTTTCAAGTACGCATTTCAAGTCCTGTGTAATAAACCATAATCTCTTGTAGGGAAAGCGTGATACTTGTGTATAGATCTATACAGGATTTACAATCCTGCACCTAAACTGTTAGCTATAGTTAGACCGGCAGGTCTGGGGTGACAAACGTGATAACACTCCAACGCCTGAAGAACGTTGTCACAGGCAGTCTGGTCAATAGTACGGTTATAAAACTCACATGAAGTATTAAAACATTTTGGTTTACGGGGCTATCAAACGCCTTAGTGGTTATATATACATATATAAATCTACTTACACTATATTAGGTATGGAAAATACTTATGCATTCCGGTTTTTGGAACTTTTAAAACTACCATTCATTTATGGAAAATATTGGATTTTCTAGAAACAAACTCGGTTACTTTATACAAAAAGGCATACAATTCTTATACAAAAACGCTTATGAACTCACCAACTTAATTGTTGATACTTTTTCAAAACTACTTGTATTTCTCAGGGATTCAGTAATACATGTAAACAACAGCTTTTGGGGAAGGGACGCTAAGGCGTCAATTTCAAAACTTATTATATCATCATAATATAATTTATTTTGAAACATGTTTTACAAGCAACATCGTATCTTTTTAAATTATATTTATGGTGGTTGTGTTTGCTTTCTTTACTATTTACTCAGCTGTTATGATACTACATGAAGTCATCCGCCCTCGAACGATTCCGCCATTCTGGTTTTGGGGTGTGACAGATTGGTATCAGAGCATTGTTTATAGTGAACTAAGTATATCGAACCACATAAGATATACAAACTATAAATTCAAAGGGACTAAAACTCTCTGACAAAACGCTTTTACACCAGATAATGATATCCAACACATAGCCTCCAATCCTGTGAAGAGTGCTGATAAGGAAAAAGTTCCAATCCTACATAAAGAGAAGTTAGTAGCTACAGAAGAGGGCACGCATGGGTTGAAAGTCGTAAATAATGAGTCATATGAGGAAGAAATGAATACCGAATTCAGTAAAGATGAAGTGGAACCTTAAGGCGCTAACAAGGATAGTAACATGATGGATATAATCCATACTCACAACCGATTCAATTCCCTTGTTGCTGTTGATGATGATGAGAATCAAGGGCTAGGTGCGTCTGAACACCATCTGGGAGAAAATATAGTGGAACACACACAAAGGGTAAATCATGTGGCAACCATGGAGAATGTTGCCAAAACTATCCCAGTTTCCCAATGATGAGATCAATGGTTTGGAATGTTAGAGGATTATGCAACTCCTCTACTCAAAAAGAAGTTGTGTCGATGTTGGATAGAAATGGGGTTTCGCTTTGTGCTCTCTTGGAAACAAGAATGCATATTTCTCGAATAAATAAAGTTTGCAAGGGTATAAAAGGTAATTGGCAATGCTACTCTAATGCTAGCTTGTGTAATAGAGGTACTAGAATTGCTATTGGCTGGGATCCAGGGGCTTGGGATGTTTTTGTTATTAATAGTTTTGACCAAGTCGTGCACTGTAGAGTTCACTCTAAAAACTCTAACCACACTTTTTTCATGTCCTTTGTTTATGCTGATAATGACTATCGTGATAGAAGAAAACTTTGGGACTACCTGTGGATTCATCACTCCCTAGTCAAAGACGAACCTTGGTTAATTGCAGGTGATTTTAACCAAGTTCTTAAGCCGAGTGAATCTACTAGATCAAGCTCCTTTGATAGCTTTATGACTGATTTTCAGAGATGCATCGATGATACTAATCTTGGTGATATAAATGCCACAGGCCTATATTATACTTGGAACCAGAAACCTCGTGGGATTGGTGGGCTTCTTAGGAAACTAGATAGGACTATGGGTAACACCAACATCTTATCTATGTTTCCCAAACTTCATGTTATGTACAAGCCGTATGGTATTTCGGACCACTCTCCTGCCCTTATAAGCTTCCCAATTGGCAAACCGAAAAAGTATTATGATTTCAAGTTTGTTAATAATTTTACCAATCATCCTCAGTTTCACGATACGGTGCAATCAATATGGGGAAATAGGGTTGAAGGTCATTGCATGTATTCGGTTTTTCAAAAACTAAAGAAACTCAAACCCCCCATACGTAAGCTTGGTAAATAAATGGGAAACCCTTCTCAATAAGTGGAAGCACTGAGAGTCGAACTTGAAAGAGCCGAAGAACAATTAGATAGAGACCCCGATAATGAAGAGGTTAGTGTTGAGCATGCAAAGTATCTAGAAGAATTCACCAAAGCCTTATGTGAAGAAGAATGCCTCCTAAGACAAAAAACGAAACTTAATTGGCTTAAAGAAGGAGACCGGAATACTAAATATTACCATAAAGTCATTAAAGAGAGACAAAGCCGAAATAAAATCAATTCTATTACTGGTAGTAATGGTGTGATGCATGGGGCTAATCAGGTCGCTGATATTGCTATTGCTCATTTCTCTGATTTCCTTGGGAAAGATAGAGATGTTGATCCTATAATCTCCCTAACGGCCTTTTCAGCAATACTCTAACAAATGAGGATGCTAGCTGGATGGTTAGACCAATTGATGATGAAGAAATCAAACAAGCCATGTTTGACATTGGGAATGACAAAGCCCCAGGACCAGATGGGTACACTTCTACGTTTTTTAAAAAGACATGGCATATAGTGGGGAAAGAAGTGCGCAAAGCAGTCAAAGAATTCTTTCTCAATGGTCAGCTTTTACAAGCTGTTAATCATACGATCTTAGCCCTCCTCCCAAAGGTGGAAGTCCCCAATACCATGAAGGATTTTTGCCCCATATCGTGTTGCAATGTCATATAAAAATGCATCACAAAGATCATAGTGACTAGAATTGCCCCTTTTCTTCACAATTTGGTTGATGTGAACCAATCAGCCTTCATTCCGGGTAGAGCTATTACTGATAACATCCATCTTTCACAGGAATTGATGCGAGGTTACACTCGTAAACATGGCAGCCCCAGATGTGCTCTTAAAGTCGACATCCAAAAAGCGTATGATACTGTAAGCTGGAGTTTTTTGGAACAAATTCTATGGGGTTTCGGTTTCCACCATAGAATGATCCAATGGATAATGAAGTGCGCCTCGACCACCTCTTTCTCCATAAGCATTAATGGAGAAAATAAAGGGTATTTCATGGGGCAAAGGGGGCTTAGACAGGGTGATACAATGTCACCTTATCTCTTCACTTTAATCATGGAGGTTTTTAACCTTATGATCAAAAGGCGCATACAACAGAACCCAAAACACAAATATCATTGGAGGTACGGGAAACAAAAGCTAACACATCTTTGTTTTGCAGATGATCTTTTAATTTTCAGTCATGGGAGTATTCAAGTTGTCCAGGTGATCAAAGACGCTTTACAAGAGTTCCAGGCAGTGTCGGGTTTGATTCCTAATCCTAAAAAAAGTTCGATTTTTTTATGGAAAGATCAGTGATTCTTTAAAAACCCAAATTTCGAATATTATGGGTTTTTAGGAAGAAAAACTCCTTGTTCGATATCTCGTTATTCCTTTGATTGGTACGAGAATGCTTAACAAGGACTGTAATAAACTTGTGGAGCAAGTGAAAGCACGAATTCAGAATTGGAAGCATAGAGCTTTCTCTTTTGCGGGAAGACTACAACTCATTAACTCGGTGCTCCAATCCCTCCAACTATATTGGTGTTCGGTCCTCCTCCTTCCTAAAACAACCATTAAAGATTTCGAAAAAGTCTTTAAGGGTTTCCTATGGAGTGGTGGTGACTTGAAGAAAGGAAGTGCTAAGATTGCTTGGAAAATGGTGTGTAGACCTAAAGATGAAGGAGGATTGGGAATCCGCAATTTGCAGACTTCGAATGAAGCTCTTTTATCTCGTCAAATTTGGAGACTAATAACTGCAAAAAAACTCTATTTGGGTTGATTGGGTAAAAATCCACCATCTCAGAAACCAAACGTTCTGGGAGGTTAAAAGCAAGGATCTCGAAGGCTTCTCGTGGTCTAACATGCTTTCCTTGCGCGACAAGATTTGGAAACACATATGGCGAATACCCGGGGATGGAACTAGCATCAACCTATGGTATAACAATTAGCATGTAGGTGGCCCTTTGATTAACATTATCCCGACAGATGGGAGGAACCTTCATGGACTCTCAAGTGAGCTCACCTTGCAACAATTTTGCTGTAATCATAGTTCGTGGTGGCCTTGGGGATGGGACTTGCGGTTTCCTAATCTCCAACTTCAGGGTATCCCTAATCTTCAACACAACAAAGACGTTGGGGTTTATTGGAGGGACCTTGAAGGAAGGAATGTTAAGTTCTCTCCTACTCAAGTTTGGCAGGATATTAGAATAATTACCCCGGTTGTTCCTTGGGATAAGGTGGTTTGGTTTAAGCTCAACATTCCAAGCCATGCTTTTATTTTCTGGCTAGCCATACATGACAGATTGATGACTCAGGAGCGAATGAATATATGGCAAAATTTGGCAAATCTGTAGTGTCTGTTTTGCAAGATGGTGCCTGACTCGACGTCCCATTTATTCTTTGAGTGTCAGTATTCAAGAGAGGTTTGGAACAAAGTGTGTAATAGGTGTAACATCCAAATCCCGGACTTCAGATTGAAACAAATAATTGAGTATCAAATTCCTCGCCTTTAGAAAAATCACATCCAAGTAGATATTGAGAAAATTACTCTGGCTGCCATGATATACTTTATATGGAAGGAGAAGAACTCACGCTGTCATAATGGTAATAGAATTCCCCACGCTAAACTTGCTAATAAAGTCTTCAACAACTTGAAAGCTTGTTTATGTGGAGTTCCTCTCAAATGGTCTATCCCGGTGGAAGAAGTGTATAAAAATTGAAAAATCTAAAGGCCTAGCAACTGGCCTCCAATCAATGATAGCGATCATGTTGCTTAATAACGATTATGGGAGGAGGTGCCTGTGCGACTTTCTTGTCTTTTGGCTTGTGGGCTTTATGAGTATCAGTATTTTTCTGTGTAACTTTCTTACTTATGTTACAGTTCGAGGACCAACTAATGGCCTGTCTTCCTATTAGGGTTGTTCCCTTTGTATCTTGTACTGTATAAGTTTTTTCCTTAATGCATTTACTGGAGGTTTGGCCTCTTTTCTACAAAAAAAACGCATTCACACCAACCATACTTCATTAAATTAAAATGTTAGTTTCATAAAGGTACAAATACATGCATACAACACTTTAATGTCATGGTTAGAACTATACAAAAGTATTAAGACAAGTTAGACACTATGACTAGGCCTCAGAATATGTAATCAGATCTAGGATGAATATAGCCTGATCAACTATATTTATCCGAGGTATGACCAACGTATGTCGAGGAATAGTCGTAGTGAGCAACAAGTCAAAAACTTACCAAAGTAACACTAGAATCAAACTTACAAATTTAAATACTATAGGAGTTTTTATGACACTATAAAAACTGTAATAAGCGAGTAAACCTTGAAATTTCGTTAGAACTAGGAATCGTCAATTAAATAGAATTATGCTTATAAAAACTAAAAACCTTCACTGACAGGTCTATAATTGCAAAGTGCATAATTTAAGGTTACACATGATTGAGGTTCCATAGGCTTAGGAGTTATGATTTCGCTTTAGGTCCTTTTCCTTGTTTGGATGTGGGCTTAGAGTGAAGCTACTTATCCAACGGTCTATTCGATCTCAATTGTATGTAATTTGTATACACTAGGTAATTATAGGAGGACTCGGTGTAGGTCTTACCATAAAATTTTCTTTTTACACTCAAGTTTTATATATAATTCTCTTATCTCTATTCTCGATCAAACGAAATGGCAGGATTTCATATCCCCGGGGATCCCTACTACCCTAACTAGGGAAATGGAGGCTGGGTCGAGGAGGATCCAGAAGAGGATCCCGAAGAGATTCCCGAGGAAGATCCATAAGAGGATCCTGAAGAGGAGGAAGAGGAAGAAGAAGAGGAAGCAGATGATGAGGGCACTGACTCGGAACCCGAGGTCTACAATCCTCCCCATGTAGTACCAAATCCCCGATGGAACTTTCAGGGCCCGACGCCCCGCTGGGCTGTAGATCTGAAATGATTGAGCAGGGAACAAGGTCAACGTCCGCCCTACAGCATGGGACAAGGTTTTCATAACCTCAGTAACAGAGGTTCGGCTGACATGGCACTCCCTGTCATGATTCATAACATCTCCAACCAAGGCGAGCAAACACGAGTTAACTCCAGCCAAATCATGGATGTTGGTGCCACCACCCAAGTAACTGTTGTACGTCTTCGTCGTCTGGACGAAGAACATGAGCGAACAATAGAGCACACCTTTTCCCTCCAGAAAGACATTACCGCTGCTAGAGCCGAGGTAAGGGAGTTCCGGAAAAGCAAAACCGAAATGGAGAGGCGCATCATCGAGGGTGAACACCAAGTAGCTCGAGCTCAGACTTCCATGACCACATACCATGGTCCGCAGCGTACCACCCGCTCGGAGTAGATCGCGTACTACTTGCGCTATGTATAGACTTATCGAGTGAGCGTTGGTGCTACTCTTTCCTTTATGTATGTAAACCCGATGGATTATGAGTACACAATTCGGGGGTCTGAATGCTGTCAAATTTTCTCATTTTCATTGATGTATTCTAGAGCTGTGTTAAGGTCAAATTTTCCTGATCGATGTATCGAATATTAATATCAATGAGATTGACACACATTTATTATTTCATTAGGTATTTCATTAAGTTCTTAAAATACTAAGGAAATCATGTACTTATTGTTGTAAGTTTCCATTTCACAATAAACTTACAAATTCGATAATGTTCGGAATGTAAAGCATATAATACTAAGACTTTCCATAACCATTTCTGAAGACTTATCAAGAATTCGTCTTTTAACTTATGGCAGAATCATGCCGCCAAGAAGGAATCCCCGACACATCAATACTACAGGAACACCACCATCTCCTCCACCACCACCACCACCACCCCCATCAACGGACAATGCTGTTTTCAGGTTGCCGTAATAGCTGCTGTGACAGTAGTGATTGCACAAATGAGTAACAACGGGTATGGAGGAGGGATAAATAGCTCTACCAATGGCCAACACTAGGGTCGTTCCGGGGAATGCACTTACAAGGACTTCACCAATAGCAAACCCATATCCTTTAATGGGACTGGAGGAGTAATGACTCTATCCCAATGGATATAGAAAACGGAAGCAGTATTCGAGATCTGCTCATGCCAAGAAGGGGGCAAGGTAAAATTTGTTGCCTGTACTTTCTTCGAACGAGCCCTTACATGGTGGAATGGCCATGTTAAGTCACTAACACTGGTAGTGGCTAACTCCATGAGTTAGGACAACCTAAAACGAATGCTAATGCAAGAGTACTGTCCAAGAGGCAAGGTACAAAAGCTCGAACAAGAGCTTTGGGGCCTTACTATGGTTGGCTCGGACATCACAACCTATACCAATAGGTTCAGTGACTTAGCAATACTTTGCCCGGGAATGGTTGCTCTAGAGAGCAAGAAGATCGAGAGGTATATCTGGGGACTTTCACCCCAGATTCAAGGATGTGTATTAGCTTCCAAGCCAGTTACTTTCGATAGTGCCAAACAGTTGACACAGGCCCTCGTTGACCATGGTGTCTGCCAAGGATTCATGACTGCTGTTCTGGAGCAACCCAGAGGAAGCAACAACAACAACTACAATACCAACAACAACAAGAAGAAGAAGTTTTGGAACAAGAGGAAGGGTCAATTTTCGCAGGAACCTTCCAAGAAACAACAGATAGTGGCAGTCCATGCCGCTACTGCTCCCACTGCTGTTATTGTTACCCCTACACCAGGAAAACAATATGCTGGAAACCTACCAAAGTGCGGAAAATGCAATTTCCATCACAACGGAAATTGTCGGGAGATGCACTGTAATAACTGCAATAGGAAAGGGCACACTGCCCGTTTCTGTAAGGCGCCGGCACGACCAATCACCCAAGTTCCTAGAGTCGGTGTGGGCCAGGCGTGTTATGGGTGTGGTGAAGCTGGGCACTACAAGAGAGATTGCCCTAAGGCAAGGAATGTTGGCGGCGTAGGAAGAGTGCTGGCAATAGGGCAGAACGAAGCAATAGCTGATCTGACGGTGGTTACGGGTACGTTTCTCCTCAATAACACTTATGCATGCATACTCTTTGATTGTGGTGCGGAGAGGAGTTTCGTGAGCCATGAATTCAAACACTTACTTAAACAAAACCCCCAATCACTCAATAAGATATTTATAGTAGAAATGGAAAACAGTAAAACAGAAAGCACAAACGATATGTACGTAGGCTGCATGCTAGATCTAAATGAACACTCGTTCCAAATCGATCTAAATCACTATCAGAAGCTTTGATGTCATCATCGGTATGGATTGGTTAAGCCTTCACCATGCCGATATACTTTGTCACGAAAGGGTCGTTCGCCTTAATCTGCCAAATGACGAAACTCTTATCATTTATGGTGACAAACCCGATACCAATTTACAAATCATCTCTTGCATCAAAGCCCAAAAATACCTGCACAAGGAATACCATGCTTTCCTAGCCCACGTGGTAGATAAGGAAAAAGAAATGAAAGACATCAAAGAAATTCCAGAAGTCTACAATTTCCCCAGCGTCTTCCCTGAAGATCTCCCAGGAGTTCCACCAGAACGTCAAGTCGAGTTCATAATCGACTTGATCGCGGACCTACCCCAGTAGCAAAATCACCGTACTGTCTAGCACCGGCAGAGATGCAGGAATTATACAACCAACTAAATGAGCTACTCAGCAAAGGATTCATCAGACCGAGCTTCTCACCTTGGGGAGCACCAGTCCTATTCGTAAAGAAGAAGGATGGATCTTTTCACATGCGCATCGATTACCAGGAACTAAACAAGCTCACAAT